AAAAGAGCCAGAAGTATATATATAATTATAATATTATACTAATAAATCCCATATATCTCTCTTCTAGACTTTAGTATTTAATTCTTACCCAAACTCAATAACTACTTAAAGAATACTACTATAACTTTGCTAAAAAGTAGTTTCTATTTATATTAGAGGCTAATAGCTAGAATATACCCGAGGTAGTTAAACTAACTAAGTAGTAGAAGATCCTCTTGAAATATAATATTCCTATAATAGCTATTACTTTAAGTTATAGCTAGTTACTAGTAGTTCTATTTAAGTATGCTATATCTATCCGGTACTATACTATTTATTATTACTTACGGATTCCTATTAAAAAAGTAGAATAAATAATTCGAGATATCTAGTTATTTTCTCAAGTACTATAAGATAACTTGCGAGCTATATAGCTCCTATACTAGTACAAGAAATTAGAAAACCTTATTATATACTTATAATTAAGAATAAACTTCTAGAGAGAAGCGGTAAAAGCTAAGCTCCGGAATATATATAATATAAAAATTAAAACAGAGGAGAGGCTAGTAAAACTAGAGTTAAGGGCAAGCTAGTTAACTTAGTCTTTAGAAGTAGAGGGCAGAACCCACTAACTAATTAATGCCAAGGCATTATAGTTCCTGAAAGAGGTATTTAGTAAGCTAGCTATAGCCAAATCTTTACCTATTACTGCCCAGAATCAAGTTTAGTAGTAAATAAAGAATAGCGTAAGTATAATAATTAATTAGAAGTACGCTAGAGCTACTAAAAGACTAACTATTAAAGTTAAACCTCTAGGCCCAGATTCTCGAGATTAGCTATTACTATATACTCTAGTTTTAGCTACTAATGCGCTCTATAATTCTTATGAGGGCTCTTACGGATATATGAGCGAGCGGGATTTCTTATACAAACGTCAAAAATATACTAGAGAGGCAGATAAGACCGAGGAAGAGGCATTTCAAGAATTAATTCAGGACTCTCAAGTTACTACTAGATTAATAATACTTTGGCGTACCGCTATTTAAGGATACGAGAGCTTCAGGTTAATACCTGATATATAGATAAGAGCTAAGAATAAAACGGCTAGGCATATGCAACCTTTGGCAGGGTAACTTTAGCCTTTGATATAATATCCTCCAGATCCAGTTTCTATAAATAATAACAAGAGTACGGACTATGGCTCCGTGCCTGCGGACTACGAGTGGGAATAGTAATTAATATTACTATTCTTTACTTATGTGAAGAGTTACTGAGCATTTTCTCTCTCTGGGAGAAGAATGAATAGGGCTGCTCTTGGGGTTAGTATTCTGCTTCCTGCCTCGCGCCCTTCCCCCAGTCCTCCAAGGAGTGCAGAGCCACCAAAGTATGCCTCGCGCATACCATATCTCAGGCGATTTACATCATGTTAATAGCCTGCTTTATCATGTCTTCTCCCCGGGACCGTTAGCTTGGGACATCAATGTGACTCCCATCTTGGTGTCATCTCCAATTCTAAGGCCGCAAACCTGACGTCGGATGACTTCTGGTCTCTAATTCCAAGGCCGCAAACCTGACGTCGGATGACTTCTGGTCAGCCGCTTCGGGGCCGCTGCCTTTGATCTCCAAATCAACGTACCTCTTTCTGATTTTGTTATACACGCTGTCTTCTATCGTCTCTTGCATCTAGATACCTTTTCGAGAATCCCTGAGATGGATGATTTGTCTAGGAACGACGAGGTTGAGAGAGAATTAATACAAATAACGGAGCCTTTAAACCCTGCCTCTATTAAAATAAGGCTTTGCGCGGGGCGGATCTCTCTCCTTCAAGCGAAAGTGCATGACCTTTAGGAGGAGAATCAATTACTCAGAGGTTAATCTCGATACTAGTCACTACCAGACTCCGGTTACCTTAAATAGGAGACGTTTCAGAAGAAGATTCCTCTCAAAATCCGGAAATTAATCTAGTAATATACTTTCCTAGCTTCCCGTATTATTCAGTTCACCGTCCGTAAAAACGATAGTAGCTTCTTTTTTAGTAGTAGTACTCCTCTAGTAATATTATATATTTACTCGGAATCCTGCCAAGAAGCCCTTTCTATTTACTAGCCTTTCTTTACGTTTAATTACAAGATAGAATCTGTATTAAGGCCAATATATTTTTGCCCTATACGCAATATTCTCTATTTCGCCGAAATAAACGCGTTAAGAGACAAGTAGTTTATATATAGATTTCCTGAGGTAAAGGAAATTTAATTAGTAGCCCTATACTATAATCCGTATAATTATTATTTTACTAGGTTATTTGACCTTTGCCCTTTTCAAAATCTTACCGAATTAATCTTAGTTATAAGATACCCTAATAAACTAGTATTTAATTTTAGATATTATAAAAGTATAATATTTTTTGACTTGAATTCTAAATAGGCTCTTGGGTTTGAGCTAATATAAAGATAGGAAGTTCTAGAAAACATGTTTATAGAAGCTCTATATAAGTAATACCTAAAAGAAATTACTTCTATTATTCGGGTTGTGAGAATTAGACAGATTTCCCAAATACCTTACTATACTAACCTTAAATATACTAGATTAGAATCTTATAGTTAAGTATTTATAGTATATAGCTACTAATAATATTAAAATAGGAAAAGATATAGAAGTTAACTATAATATTATGCCTAGTTCCTTTATTTACCGCAGATTTTGGGTTTTTCTAGATAAGACAAATTCAATCCTTAATATTAGCTTTCTTAGATGGATTTTGCCTTAGTTAATGGATTATAAGTAATAGATTTTGGGTTAGATATTTTGAGGAATATATTATGAAATAAAGATGGGCAGTAAATAGTAAAAGTTTTACTATAACTGAGCTCGAAGCGCTTCTGAAAATTTCTGATGGCAGTAATAGTACAAACTCAGTATTACCTTAGAAATAATATTAAATTTCGTCTACTTGCCCTATTTGCGACATTATTATGATTTTTAGAGACTAGTAAAACCATAGTAATAGCATCCTAAATGGGGCTCGTTAGTCCAATTAGAGTTACTGCACGTGACAAGAGTATCTCGCTTCGGCGCTAAACGCTGCCCCACCAAACATGCCTTTCCCACTTTAATATTGCTAATTTTGTATTGCACGGTTTCGAATGTTAGACGACTCTCTATCACGCATTATTTTAGCTATCCTGGCATTTATTGCATTATCTTGGTATCTCCGCCAATTGAGTACCTTACCATCCGCTAATTACGAGACAAGATTGTAATATCCTCAACGAGTTAATAATTCCGCAAATGAAGTTTAAAATATTATGAAGTCAAGATAAGCTATAGTAATGATATGAAACAGGACGAGGCGCCGGCTTAAAGATTCGCGAAGATGTAAGCAAGGATGAGAAGGGGAAGCCTATAATATAAGCTTATAGCAGGTTTGGGTAGTGGTTGTGTCTATGTCGCTGATTACGATTTCAAAGCAGGCGAAGAATCGAGAGCCAAGTTAAAGTAATACATTATTAATTTAAACCGTCGTTAGCTCTCGCCAAGTAACTTAAGTCTTTTAGGAGTGCCCGGCTGCGATAGTATACACTCACACATACCATACCTCTAGCGGCGTACCTTTTCGAGCAATCTGCGCTGGAGGCTCGCCGAAGCCTCAGTCGAGGGTTCGACTCCGTTCTCAGAAGGTGCCCTGGCCGTCTTCCAAGGACAGGCAGATTACGCACCATGTATAATGCATTAATGCCAATATAGCCCACTCGATTAGCCATAAGTAATATCTCCGTACGGATGGAATGGGAAGCCAGGAGGTATAATCACTCAGTAATAAGGAAGCCTGTGCGACCTGTCCAATAACGTCTATTTACTCATGGAATGGAAACAAGATTTAAAAAGCTCGCAAGGCTTCGGTAATTACAGAACAATGATATGTGAGCCTCAATGGGTGCGGTTCAGTGAAGCATTGCCTGATCCATGCATCTGCCATGGCCATTGTTAAGTCTGAGGGCGTTTGATGCAAGGAGCGCTGCATGCTGTCACCTGGCAAGGGGATTCCTGGTCGAGAAACCGACGGTGCAAGCCTCCGTCTGGCCGTTCTCTAACGAGTCAATGTCTCCGAGCTAAAGGTATCCTATAACAGGTTCATATAGCTGTATTAGTGGGGTGGATGCTGGAGTTTTTCGCAGCTGCGTTATTGGACCCTCCGTTCAAGTATAAGAAGGCAGTAATCCCCCCTTCAGACGACTTCCCTTCCAGTTTCCTTTCCATTTTATTAAATATCCTTGATTTAATAGCATCTGCAGAATCCGACTTGGTAAGATGCTATAATAATGAATACATACTTTATGCTAATATTAGTTTGAAAAGAACTTAGAAGATATATGAAAATTTGACCGCGGCCTTCAAGTTAAGGAAGAGGCGGATATACCCTCAGGAGGGTTCTTAAGATAGGAGGTCCAGATATAGTATTATAAAGCCTTACTAATTATAAAATAGACCGGCTAATTATAATTAATAATAATATGGATTTGCTAAAACGGACAGCTTCTACTTAGGAACTAATTAACGAGAAGTACCGAATTAGAAAGAGAGCCCGAAAAATAAGAGAATTACTTTAGATTATCCGCGAATCCGTAAATAACCTTAGCTAATTAAGGGAGCTTGTATAATTAAGTGAAAAGATTATTATTATTAGCGGGGCCAGTATCTTTATTAGTATAGGCTATAAGTTAAAGCTTATTTGTAAATTCCTTTATTAATACTAATTTATCTAGTTCCTATCTTTAAAAATATATAGAAATCCAAATAGATCTCGTTTAACTACTCTCTTTATTTCTCTTTAAACGAAACAATTTGCTTTTACTTTATAGTTCGTAGTATATATAAACGCCTATATTCGGATTTAACTAAGCCTTTATCTTTCTATAAAATTATAGATAAGCTTATATAGACTTATTCTTATTTTCGGTACTATATATAGAATATTAACTATATTAAGCGCTTATTACCTAATCTTAATACTAAAATAGTGCGCCTCTATAATTAAGTTAATTAAGCCTAATATAAGATATATAACTGGGTTTATAACTATAAGCTATATCTATTTTACGGTTCCGATTCGCTATACTATTAAAGGTACTTATAAAGAAGCCAGGCCCGGGTATTAAAGGATAAGTAATTATTAAAAATTAGTAGGCTAAAACCTAATATACTTTTATATAGCGAGCCTTATCTAGATAATAAAGAGATTCTAGAAACTACTAAATATAATTTGAGAATATATCCGGAGTTAGTATTAATTATTAGTATAAAGCTACGGATTTCTAGCGCTTAATTAATAGCTATAAACTTTTACTATATTACTCGAAGTATAGGTAAAGCAAGTTTTTAAATTAGTAAGAAGAAGCTAGAGTCGAATATAAAGTTCTTATATAATTATATTCTTATAGAAGATTATAATAAGGTTATTTCTCTAGATATTTTCAAATTATCTAATTAATATATATATATATATTACTATAAGCTATTCTTAACTTTTACTATTATATATAAGCTATCTTTAAGAAACTTAAATATAATTTAATACGGATATTATATATAGAAGCTATTACTATAATTTAAGTATTTAGATAGAAATTATAGATATATAATATAACTTCTTCTCTTCTAGCTTCCTTTACCTTAAATATATTTATATAAGCTAACCGGATTATATTAGTTATCTTATAATTAGTGCAGATTATACTCAGTTAGTATTTCTCTAGTTTAATTATAGAACTACTTACTAGAGATTAAAGTATATATAAGATACTAGCCCTAAACTTCTATATTAGTTAATTTCTATATAAGAGTACTAGCGGCATTTAAAGCCCCAAATTTCTAGTATTAATAACCTCTTATTAATTTATTGGATTTCTCAGGCTAGTTAAGCCCGTAGTATTAAACGAATATAGTATATTAAAAGACCTAGTCCGTAAGAATTAGTTATATATATTATAGTACTAGTTAAAGATAGCTTATAAATCGACTTTTTATATTTTTCTAATTAGGTATCTCTTTATTATATTAGTCTATATTTTAATTAAATAGCTTATATACTATCTTAATAGTTATATTCCACGGCTCAATTTCGTTAACCTTTTATAGAAAACTTATTATCTGGGTTCTAGTAGGGCCTTAATCTCGGATATTAAGTAATTATTTAATATATCCTAAATAAGCTATAATACTAATCCCTAATATAAAAAGAATTATATTACTATAATTCTCTACTAAGGATAACTTCCCGTATAGGCCTTTAAGGAAGGCTCTTATTACTATAGGTTATACCCGGAGAAGCCAAGTAAATTCCTTTTACTATTAGATAAGGGCAGTAATATTTCTGCTCTTGTTTTTCTTATTCTAATCCCATAATACTATAAAAAAGAAATGTAATTTACTAATAGAAAGTACTAATATAAAAGGAACTTATAAGAAGATATATTAGCCCGTATAAACTTAATAAGGCTTAGCTAAAATAATATTAGCCTTTAGTAATTCATTTTCTTTAAAAATTCTAATTTTAGCTCTATTTTATAGAGAGATTTCTATTTGAGCTACTATAAGTATAGTATATAGCAAGCCTATAATAATAAGGAAGATAATTAATAATTATAAAAAATTAAAGAGAGTAAGATATAAAAAAATTATAATAATTATAATAATAGTTAAAGCTATATAAGTACTTAAAAATAATTTATATATATAGTATTTATAATAGGCTAGGTTAAATAAAGTGTATTGCGAGCTACTATAAGGTATAAGAAGAATTATATAAGGAAGAAAAAGAGAGAAGTTCGGGCTCTCGGCCCGTAAGGGGTCCGCAAGAAGCTAACGGGTAGTTATTAGGGCAACGAGAACTGCCTAAGGCAGTCGAGTCCAACTTACGGGTACAACCCGTTATAGTATTAAATAAACGGTAATAAGAATACTTCTAAAACAGCTATACTAATAGCGGTCTAGAATATGTTTTTAGTATTAGCCTTTAACTAGATTTAATTATAACTTATAGTAAGACCTGCTATACTTAATATAGATATAAAAAGACGCGTACTAGAATAAATTAGACTTAAAATAGCTATTAAGTAAATAATATATTTAACTATAGTAATAATACTAAGCCATTTATAAATGAAATTCTTAAACTATTATAATATATAAATATACTTAAAGAATATATTAGATCTACTATAAACTAAAAGTAAAATCAGATTAATTAAAATAGCTTTACCGGATTATTTTATTAGTACTATTTAGCCCTTAGAGATAGCGAGAACTATAGTATTAATTACTATTATAGAGAGAAGACTAATTAGATAAAGTAGTATAGTAATGTCTATATTTTTAAGATATTAATAAAATAAATAATTAGAAATATATTTGCGAGCAAAGAACTTAATATAACGGGAATTAATATAAAAAAGAGAATTATTTTATAGGTAGTATTATAAAAAGGCTAAAATTATAATTCTAAGAAATATATCTCTAGAGATAATTATAGCGGCAGTTATAATATCTATTTTATTTTAGCTAGAATAGGTAGTTCTTTAATATTTAAAGATATATTTATATATATATAAAACCTTAGAGAAACTTATTTTTAGAAGTAATATATTTATATAAAGATATATCTAAGATTTCCTATATTTATTTTAAGTAATTTTGCTTAATATAGAGCTAATAGAATTAATAGAGATATTAAATTACCGAAAGGTAGCTTTAACTAGATAATAACAAGTATATTAAGATAAGTACTAACTAATCTGGATAATTGTCTCTATTATCTTATAAACCGTATTAATAACTGCCTTATTCTAGAGCTCGTTTCTAATATATTATCTAGATATATAAATTATATTAATAATAGGTTTTTCTAGTATAATATATTATCTAAGCCTTTTATTATTTCTTTATATATATGAAATAACGGGTTAATAAGACTAAAGATAGTAGAGCTATTATAATAGAATCCCTTAGTAAACTATAATATAATATATAATAATTATAAGAATCCGGCTATAGTATAAATATATAAGATTAATCTTATAAAATTAGGAAGTTACCTTAATATTATCTTAAATAGAAGATTCTTAACTTCGTTATTTTATAAAGCCTATTCTTATTTACCTAAAAGAATAAAAGATTAAAGAGAATAAGAAAGATCTTTATATATCTCTAATATAGAAGAAGATATTAGTTTAGGGAATAATATATATAGCGCTTAATTTATATTATATATATAATAATGTTTCCTATTTATAGAATAATATTTGAGAGATCTAGGTAAAATAAATAGAAAAGAGTTAAATATATATTAATTTTATATAAAATATAATAAAGCTATATAAATAATATTTAAATATTTTTATTTTTATTTCAGGCTTACTAAGGCCAAATCTAAGATATTTTATAATAGAGAATTTGAGGATTTATTATAATATAATAGAAATTATAATATAGTATTCGAGGTTTAACTAATTAGTTTAGAAGATATAATATAGAAGAAATTATAATATAGTATTCGAGGCTTAGCTAATTAGTTTAGAAGATAATATATAGTAGAAACTATAATATAATATTTAAGGCTTAGCTAATTAGTTTGGAATATATAATATAGCAGAAATTATAATATAGTATTTAAAGCTTAGTAAATTAGTTTAAAAGTTATAATATAGTAAAAATTATAATAAAATAAAACCTATAATAAAGTAAAACCTATAATAAAGTAAAACTTATAATAGAGTATAAGTTATAATAAAGTATAAATTATAATAGAATATAAATTATAATAAGATATAAAGAGAAAGCTTATTTAATTAGTTATATAGTTATAAAATAGTAGATATTATAATATAGTAAAACTATAATATAGTAAAACTATAATATAGTAAAACTATAATATAGTAAAACTATAATATAGTAAAACTATAATATAGTAAAACTATAATATAGTAAAACTATAATATAGTAAAACTATAATATAGTAAACTATAATATAGTAAAACTATAATATAGTAAAACTATAATATAGTAAAACTATAATATAGTAAAACTATAATATAGTAAAACTATAATATAGTAAAACTATAATATAGTAAAACTATAATATAGTAAAACTATAATATAGTAAAACTATAATATAGTAAAACTATAATATAGTAAAACTATAATATAGTAAAACTATAATATAGTAAAACTATAATATAGTCGAAATTATAATAAAAGAAATATCTAATTCCCTATATAGTTATAATATAATAGAAATTAGAGTAGTATTTCAAAGAAATCTAATTATTTAAAGTCTAGAATACTCGAAAGACAATATATAATACTTTCTATATACTAGTTAGTATAAAGAGAAAAGATTAAAGCTATTATTAGAAAGTATTATACTATCTCTAACTAATAAAATAAGTAATTTCACGAAGTTTATTCTCCTAAAAACTATTTTTATACTTTCCCCTATATAGAGGCTAATACTATTCGAGTAATTCAGGTAAGATATCTTAATATTCCTTAAAAGTAAGCTCTTTTATTACAAGTTTATAGAAGTCTATTTATTCTCTATTATCTAGAATATAGTTACTTTCTTTAAGGATCTCTTTAAGTATCCGACTAACTAATTAAAGGTTTCCCATATTATAGTTATCCTATATAACCTAATATAAGTAAATATTTACTATACTATTTCTTAGTAACTTTTAGATATTTAAATACCGAGATTTACTAAATTTAAACTCTTTTCCGGTTACTAGTATATATTCTATAGTAAAGTTATTATATAAGAGATTCTGCCTAGCTAGATATTTAAGCACATAAAATATTTATACTATATTAGTATTACTATACTAGATAGTTTCTTAAATAATATATGTCTTTATAAATTCTTTATATATCTAGTAATAATTATAGATATTAGGCTATAGTAGCCGCAATTATAATAAATAAAGGCGGCTTTATAATATATAATTTATACTATTTCTTTGAATTAGTCTTATCTTACCTAGCCTTTATTAGTAACTAGTAGCTAGTACTAGAGTTATTATTATTAAATCTAATAATATTAGAATAATTAAGTATATATAATATATTTCATTTACTTATAGTCTTTAATATATTAACTAGAACTACTTTAGGTATTAACTTATATATTATAAGCTTTATTCGGATTCTACTAAACTCAAAAATACTATTAATATAATTCTTATATCTAACTAAGTCTAATATAGTAATAAATAGTTATATCTTTAATAAGATATATATACTATTCTCGCTCTAACCTATATCTCTTAAATA